TATCTCACCACTAGAACACTCCTTCTAGTTTTAGTCCCTAGAACTAAAGTTTAGGGACATGAAATAAATGTTTACTTAGGGAACTAAAGTTTACTTAGGGAACAATGTTCACTTAGGGAACTAAAGTCTAGGGACATGAAATAAATATGTGGTATGACAAAAGAAATCCATGAAAAGATAATGTTGAAGATTTGATTATCAAAAAGAGAAAGACTTCCCTAGTGAATGTAAAACATATGAGGCTATACGTCACTTATGAAATATACTTTAACTTAATTCCTTCACTGGGACCACAGATGGGAAGAGGATGGCCACATTATCCCTGGAAGGTGGCCAAGTCTTAATTCTCCATTAGTCCCCCTCTAACATCAGTCTGCTGGGCAGAAGAAGCAGCACTGCTTAGTGCAGATAGAAGTCCAACCTTCTCCTATGGTCCCTTACTGATCATGAATAGGGAAACGGGAGGTCCTGCTAGGATGGAGGTCTTGACTCCCTACTCAGCCATCTCTGATACCACCCCAGTAGGAGGTCAAGGAGCCTTATGACAATGTTTTAAGGGTTAAAGTCCAAGCTCCCCACCTAAATGGCATGAGTTAAGACCACAGTTTTTCTGTGGTACTTGGCTAGAGTGATTACTGCCTAAAAGTTTCTGACTTGCTATGCTGCCTTTTCCCTACTATTTTAACTAAAGAGTGTAGGATATTTTAGTATGTGTTCATTTTTGTTTTCAGATTGCCAGCATCTTCGGTTCCAAGTCTGCGATATATGAGGCAAACAGAAAACCCAGGGAACTCACCAGCGTGTTATTCCTTAGGTGCTGAGGTCCCTAGTCTTATGCCTTCTCTCCACCTTTCAGTCTTCTTATATTTGTTTTATATAAAATATTCAAGGCTTCCTGTTGTTTTAGTGGAACAGAGAAATGTATACATCTTTTCCATCTTCCTGAAAGCAGAAGCCCCCACTTTTTAAACAGGTTCCCACTATGTCCAACTACATAAATTCCTGGAAAAATGAGGGTAGAGTATGTGGAAGAGAATTTTTACGTGATGCTTATATATTTGGACAAATTTAGACCATTCCTTAATTCAAATAAGTTATATAGCTGAGCCAGCCATATAAGAATGTCCAAATCACCTCTTAGGACAGGACTTACATAAGCTTGAATAAACTCAATATTTAAAATGCTTTTCATTTTACAAATACTTATTAATTTAACATTTTCTATTCAAACCTTTAAGTCAAACTTACTACACAATGTTTACTTAGAGAACTAAAGTCTTCACATCATCTGATCTCTCTAAGGGCACTACATGGAACTATGCAGCTAAATCCAGTTTCAGACTTTTGAATACATATTGTCATAAAGAAAATGGCCTAGAACAGTATCTGTCAGAATGGACATGAAATAAATATGTGCTATGACAAAAGAAATCCATGAAAAGATAATGTCTAAGATTTGATTATCAAAAAGAAAAAGACTTCCCTAGGGAATGTAAAACATTATGAGGCTATATGTCACTTATGAAATATACTTCCATAATTAACCAACAAATATACTTCTGATTTCTATATATCACTAGAATGTATTTAGAACTATATCCTTATAAGGATACATTCTCAAATGTGCTTGGCAACAAGCAAATTAAAGGTCACTTTGATTAAGCAATTCAGAAAATTTAGAAGGTTCTAACTAATAATTCATTAAGAACAAAATTCTATTTAACTACTAATACATTTCTTCAGCTATCAATGATTTTTCTGGATTAATAAAATATGTGAAACAGGAAATTATAACACATACTATTCTTACTTCCCTGCAAGACATACATGTTAATTTAACAAAGTAGAGATATTCCTTAAATCACCTTAATCTAATGCAGAACTTCCACAACATGTTCTTAAGTCCCTCAAGAAATTAACAGATGTCCATCCCACAGAGAAAGAAAATGCTAGGCTAAACATATTTAATAAACAGATTTGTCTACTACAGGAATTACTGGAGCATTCAAAATAAAATGACTATGATCTCCCACAAGAGAACTATAGTTACAATTTGCTAAATTTATTTAATTGAAGTAGATGTCCTGAGAAGATCTATTAAATTCTGTTAGAAAATAGTGTTGAACAAAACTCAATTTGAAAGATACAGAATCATAAAAGAGCCCTTAATTATTGATTCTCTACTTGGCTAGGTAAAATGAAGATCAGAAAGTTAATTAACATCATTTATAATAATTAAAAATAATTCATGAAGAAAATATGACTTTTTGAATTGTAGGAGACTTCTAACATTAATTATAAAAATAATCTGCTATCATGATGAAAATCATAAAAGTTGACCATAGATAATAAAATGATGAATTGAGTATTAATTACATTTATATTATTAATCCTACATATTATTCTCAAATTAAGCATGGAAATACAACTATAGATACTATACATTTAAGATTAAAGTTTTTAAATAAAACTAATTTTTAACATAACCTCATATTTAATTGCCTGAAATTAAACATCAGATTAACTTGACTCCATATACATATTCATAATATGCTGGGTTACTGAACAGACCATATAGTAAATACAACATATAACCATCAATGTCATACGTGCATGTGTGTATGTGTGCATACTAGTGTGTTTATGTAAGCCTAAGACAAAAATACCAGAATCTACCAATATAGTTAGGAGGTTGCTTAAAATTAAGGCCAAGTTTTATGAGTCTGAATGAGGAACGTTACAATGCTTTTTTTAACTAGATTTTTATAATCCATATTTACACCAAATTATTTTAGAACACATAAAATTAACAAAATACACAATGGCAAGCAGTGATATAAAATTAATTTTAGATGCTATATGATGTTTGGACTAAAAAGTGTAGACTACAGGTTCTGAATTCAAAAAGCAATGAGAATCACTTACCTCTAACTACAGTTCTCTGAAGGTAGTATCCTCCTCAGAACCCCTATCTTGGGTAGTTTCACCTGCTGTGATTTCCCGTAAGAGAGTCCAGCAAAGTCTATGAAGTTTAAGTTCCCTTCCACAAGTCCTATTAGCGCATGTGTGTTACAAACTTGCTCACATACTGCTTCATAGCTGTAACTTTCAATTTATGCTGAGCCATCAACCACTACGACCCATACAGCATTGGAGGATACTACCTTTGGTGAATTTAATTTAGAAATGTAATACTATTTATTTCTCCAAAAGTATCCTCCAAATCTTTTGATTGCTGTGTCCATTATATATTCAAGACAGTGGAAGCAAATCAGCAGGTAAATAAATGACATAAAGATTTATTTGCTAAATAGTCAAATGTAAGACCTCAATATAACAGTACATATAAAATGAACTCCCTCAACATTTAATATATTAAAAAGTAAACTGAAATGAAAAATTTTTCTTAAAGTATTTTCATAGGTGAGGTAGGAAAAAGTCTCTATCACTTGGAACTATCAAGTATCTCCCTACTATATTTTGTCAGAAAAATGCCAATATTTAAAAATTTGTTCAGAAATTAGTCATTAAGAGGCAAATGTTAAAAATTTTCAGTGATTTTTCAGGATGTCATTTTTACCTCAAAGATGTAAAATAAAGTTTAAAAATTACTAAATAAAATAAAAATGAAAATCATATCTAGTACCCAAATCAAGGCCAGTTTTAATGATACCTAGAATGGCAACTCACAAATGGTACTACTAAGCTTTTAACAAAAATTGTAAATATATTCAGGAAGCAGACTGTGAAAGACTGCAGAGAAAAGGAAACTTGATCTTACATGGTCCAGAAAAGGCCTTTTACTCAAAACTTCCTGCAAGTTATTTCTTGACAGCCATATATGAGCAGGGAAAAAAAAGCCAAAGAAAGCAACTGTCCTGCATGCTACAGGGCAGAGGACTAAACCACACTTATAGTACTATTTTAGAAAATCAGGTATGGAATAGCATTAATAACAGTGACTTGGGGCTGGGGATTTAGCTCAGTGGCAAAAGCGCCTGCCTGGTATGCGCAAGGTCGTGAGTTCGGTTCCCGGTACCAGAGAAAAACCAAAAAAAAAAGAGCCCTTTTTGGGGCTGGGGATTTAGCTCAGTGGCAAAAGCGCCTGCCTGGCAAGCGCAAGGTCGTGAGTTTGGTTCCCGGTACCGGAGAAAAACCAAAAAAAAAAAAAAAAAAACAAAAAAACCAAAAAACAAAACAGTGACTTTTAGTTAAGAGCCACTAACAGTTTGTTAATAATAAGCATAAAAATAACAAACTGATGGATTCTGCTTTTGAAATATATTTTATTTAGATATAATTTTCCTGGATATATAATAGGTTCAAATAAATGTTTCGGAATACTAACTTTACGTATCAACTTAATTCCTTCCATGTTCTCCTTTTTCCTGGGTAAACAAATATAGATAAGAAAATAAAGCAAGAAAAGTATGCCAAGAGGAGGAATAAAAAGACCCTAGATAATACCCAATTATATACTCTTCATATGAATAATTACAATGATTATAGTTTTCATTCTTCAAATTATCTGTGCTTACAGAATGTATTCTTAACCAAATATTTAGAACAGGGATGCATCTTTAAGCTATGAAAACCCTATAATTTTTGTCACAAAAATCAGAGGTTATTTTAATTTTAAAAGTGTATAGAACAAGACAATCTCCCCACCAAAAAAGTACTTTCCAATGCAAAAAATGACTACAAAGACAGCATCTATAAAAGATTGTTTAGACAGTTCAAAAAGCTATAACCTATCAAAAAGAATAAAATAGCAAGCCATGAGGCAGTACATTTGCATTCAGTTTCCCTCTTAATACATGCACTATTAGGACTTGCTGAAGGGTCAAAAATCTTCTAGATCTTGCTAGGTTAAATGCAGGAATGACCAACAACCCAAGAAGGTGTATCTAGGACGATACTTACCATATAAGAGCTTATACCACTGTGCTATTATGTATTCTGTGTAAGGATACACAAGCAGTCAGCTGAAAGGTACACACCACACTAGCAAATGCTTGGCTGGACCCATAAGGTCGGATGACCAATGGAATATCAAGATATGTGTCGATTCTCCAGCCCTCATAACCACATTCCAGACACCTCACGTAGTCTTTCAGCTTGCCTTGGTATAGTTCATTTATAAGATCAGCCTAAAAATAAAAAAAATTTGCATTTAAAAAGTGTTCCTTAAAAATAATTTTTAAGATATGGGAGAATACAACAATTCACGCTTTTTTAGAATGGGTTATGAAAGGGTATTGATTTTTACTGTTAAAGTCTTGAAAAGTGTTAATATGGTTTATCTAAAATTTTATTGAAAAAAATAAAACTTGACAAGTTACTTATTTATTGAAAAATAAAATTAGATTAACATAAATTTATGAGTTAATGTGCAAAAACTATTTCAATATTCCAAATCACTAAAAACCTCAACTATTAAAATATTAAGTTTCAATGAAATCAGTCACAATGTATCTCTTCATTAGGATGAAAACACACCCTAATCTATCACTCTAGGCATGATAAAACTGATATAGTTAAATGGTTGTGTTTTTGTAGCTTTACATATGCATATTACCGTTTTCTCAAAATATACTGATTTATAAAACTGTATCTTCTAGCTTAAGACACAAAACTTTTAACATTCAATAATATACATAGAACAATTTAAAAAAGAAATATTATTCTGTAACTTTTTAAATGTACAGAAATTCAAAAAGTATCTTAAAACATCTCCCTCAAATTATCCTCACCGAAGAATGGACTTCTCACTTAGTCCTCAGTTAGCCAGCTGAGGCTCTTCTTGCTCAAAGTAGGCAGGTAACTCCCTAAGTAAGGCTTCTCCATGTAACTGTCTTGCCTCAAGCTTCCTCTATCAAAACTTGGGAACGCAGTAGGAATGCCCAAGCTGATCTTAAAGGAAGTGCTGACCCATGGATAAGGTTGTAATGAGGAAGAAGGATAACTTCACACCTTTGAAGAAGAAACAGCCCCAAATACTATCTATATAAAGTTACTAAAATAAAGCCTCACAGGACTAAGTAGTGAAATTAAATCTCTAAATAAACCTAAGTTTTTCATTATTTCTTAAGTGGATAGGACAGAGGGAAAGTGTACTACAGCTTACTTCTCAAATTTGTTTCTCTTAAAATGTCTAGGATCCTTAAGTCCTCACACTGGATTGACCATTGTTATCTACTTTAATACTATTTATTTAATAAAAGCTTCTTTATTCATTGCCTCAAACATGACTGTCTTCTGCATACAGGTGAGTACGCCAAAATGGTCAAACCAGTAATTTTTAAATATCTGATATCAAAACACCATAAGAAAACAATTTCCATCACAAGCCAGCACATATAATAGTAACTAAAGTTTCAAAACCAAGACTTACCTATACTTATGTGATGCTTTCTTATACTTTTCTATTTAATTCCATTTTTTAAAGTACTAGTATAGATTCCCCAAACTGATTTCATAACCCTTGGAAGAATCACAACCTACTGTTTGAACAACTCTGGTCCAAGCCATCACAACAGTTCCAATCAGCTCTCAGACCCTCCAAACTACCTTATAGAGTAGGAGTCCTACTCTATAGAGTCCTCCCCTTTCATCCCTGTGACACTCGATTACACACTGAGCTTGAACTAGCTCAGCCTCAGTCCTCATCCCAATTATACATCAAACAATACACAATATTATAACACTATATAATTATAGTATAAATATAGCAATTATAATTAACAATTATATATTAGTATTATAATTAGAGTATACATTATATAATAATATACATTATTAGATTACTCCTAATCTGCTCCTATTTCCATTGTGTAACAATAGGGTCAGACTACTAAGAATTCTAAATATCAAAAGAGTATGTTTATATTTCAATAGTCAAAATGAAGGTAATGCTTGATGAATGTATTTTTAAGTGTGTTACGGAGTATCAGACATAATTTACTTCATAAATATCTGGAAATATTGTTCAAAAATCATCCCTCCAAAATCATATATATGTTATATAAGTTTAAGAGTCAAAAAGTACCTTCTTGATCAGATAGCCCAACTTCCTTAGTTTAAAGACAGGAACTGAGGCCTGGGCTGGTTTAATAAAGATGTTTATGACTCAGTTAATAGTCGAATGTGAACCTAGTAATTTTAATTCCCCACTCAATGCTTTAACTACTAGACTAATATACAAATTTTAAAACATGCCAATAGAATAAAAGACATTTTAGTGTAATAATTTATCAGAAAAAAGTCCCCTGAACTTGAAAAACAGGAATTACCTGCTCTGTTTGCTTCCATTTCTGTTCCAGAGCATCAAACATGACTCGGCATAGTTCCTGCACATCATGCTGTTGCCAAGCTATTTTAAGACAAAATTTAATTAAAAATAGCAACACACAGCATCATGAAACAGTAATTAGTTGTTCAGAAACAAACAAGCAGACACAGAAAAGCCTCCTTTAAATAACGCTAAATTCTACGTAACACAAAAATATACATTATAGTCAGGAAAAGACAATCACAAGGAAAAGAATTGAAAGCTCTGTGTTTTGTTTTATTTTTTTTTTTGTCTTTTTGAGACAAGGTCTTGCTATGCAGTTCAGGCTGGTTTTGAGCTCACTTTGTAGCCCAGGATGGCCTTGAACTCACAAGGATCCTCCTGCCTCAGCCTCCCAAGTGCTAGGATTACAGGTGTGCGCCTCCACACCCAGCATGCTTCCTCTTCACTGTTTTATAAATACTACAAGCTTCCTGATGCAACAGTATTTGTCAATTTTCATCAAAGAGTCAAAAATGTGTTGGAAAAAAAATTTAAGACAAAATTTTTAAATTTTTAGTTTAAGTTCAAACAAATAGGATATAATGAAACATTTTAATTGGTTAAATATTTACCCCTCAGACCTTAAATAGTGAAAAACAAGTTACTTTAAAATCATAGCAAAAAGCAAGGAGAAGGCTTAAGGTAAAGGTAATTAAGCTGTCAACATGTGTAATGTGTTTAACATTACTGTCTTTCAGAATTCCTTTAAATGTGAGAAATACTTATCATTAGAAGAGAATTAGTACCCTCACTACTATCCCATCCAAAGCTCCTTGTAACATCTGTGGTTTCGATTGCTCTCTTTTTGCTGGTTTGCAACAAAACAAAAAGCCTTTGAAGTTGGTATGGAATACTTGTCACTGGATCTTCTTCAGATTCTTCAAATTCCCACCTTTTAAAATGAAATATTTGATAATTATTTAAAAAATAATTTCATTCTTTAAAGCATAACATCAAAAATCATCATAATGTAAGATCTTATTCTGGGAGATACACAGAGTTTGGATACTAACTGAAACTAATATCTAAGGAAACAGGCTTACTTTATAAGCTCAGAAGAATCTTAGACTTTACCTAGAAGTGTAAAAGTGCAACTATTCTCAAGAATGAAAGGCAAAGATCACTTAAAAGTAACTAAAAGCTGAAAAACTCTTGTCCTAATTATTAATTCACAAAGGTATAGAATAACATTAAACAATACCAAGGCATTCACCCATCAAAACCCAAATTCTGGAAAAAATATAAAACAAAAAAATCAGTTTCCAACATACAAATTTTCAAAAATTACAGGGAAGATGGGCAGGGATTAAGAGTAGATTAAATAGATCAAGACTCTTATCAATGAATTGTAACATATAAATTGTGTTTGAATCTTGATTTGAACAAATAGTTTAAAAAACAACTATGAGGCAATTAGAGAAATCATTTTTTTTTAATTAGAGACATGGTAACACTACCCCATGATATAATTTACAGGTGAAATTAAAGGGATATGTCTTCTAAGTAATCAGGGTGAAAGGTTATAGATTAAGAAGACTGACCACAATCTGATGATGTTCAAAGATGTGTAATGATTAAAGAGGAATTAATTATTCAATTTCTCTATTTTTGAACGTTTAAAATTTTCCATAATGAATAGTTCTTAAGAGAGAATACTGTGGAAGTAATGAAATAACTGAAAATTATAGTCGTCTAGCCCAAAGTGCAGCGACTGTCTCAGCAATAGGTGCATTCCCAATGGAAGAACTTAAAGAATTTATCTCATGGTAGAAATAAAGACTGGGAGACTGACGTTGAACATTGGTTAATGTACCCATAAAAGCTTTTAAGATGATTCTGTATTCAATAAAATAAAACACTGAAAACAACACACTAAGAATGATATTAATGGTATTCTGTATCTTAAGTTAGCAATATGATTAATACTTTCCACTTCCTTACTTTTCACTTTCAAAAAAGTGTTGAACATTACTTTTTCTCTGCTCTACTTTACAAACTTTTTTAGTTCTTTGAGCCTTCCATGAAAGTGCTCAATATTTCTCCATAGACTGAAAGTCACAGCTCTGTGATCCTGCCCACTTTTTACACACTGGAGTGCCCTTGCATCTCAAATGTCAATTGAATACATTTTGTTTTTTTTCTCAAGGCTTCCTGCAAACACTTTTACACCTAATGTCACACCTTCTCTGCCTTAACCTTCCCCTTTTCTACATGCAGTCCCCTGCTCTCTTCTATTCCAGATGTCCTCAATTGAAGGTATTTAAAATTGACATTACAGAGTAAAATTCTCTCACTACCTCTGAGAGAATAATGATGTTAAAACAGAAAAGGCTCACTTTTCTTGCAAGGGAAATTCACGAGTGGAGAATTACTGTTTTGCCTGTTCTTTATTCTTGGTAGGAATTCCTTAAACCTTTTAAAATCTTGCCAGTACTTGGTATTAATTCACTTGGGTATCATATTTGATTCTTCCTTCTCCTTTAACTAAAAAAAGGGAGTTGTATCAGTTTTGACTAATTATTATATAACCACTGCTGCCATCATCATTTTGACACTCATGCATCCATGTCTGGTGCAATGACAGATTCCTTCAGGGCATCCTATCTTTCAAATCAATCTTGCACATTGAAAAATGTAAACTTTGCTAAAACAATGTATTTACCTCATTACTTATAAGCCTCCTAGGCAAAGTGGATCTCTGCTGGCCCATATACAAGCAAACAAACAAGCAAATCCCATTCTTTCCTGCTACAGCTACCGCACATGGTACAGCAAGGTTACTCGTCAGTGAAGTACATTAAGAAACATCACAAGTGCTCCCAGGCTGTTTTGCCACCTACTATAAACTTCACTCTGTCCTCTCAGTCTCCAGAGCATGTGGCCTTCCGTGTGGGCCAATGTCTGACCCCAACTTCTCACTCCCTGAGCTCCCTCACAAAGGATTTCTTTGGCTCCTCACAGGCCTCTGCACTTGCGGCTCTCATGCCTTGTATGCTCTTCCCAGGACCTTCAGTATTCCCATCCTGACTACCTACCTAAAGTTACTCCTCTTCACAGTTACTTCGTCCACATTACTCTGCTTTATCTTCTTCTTGGGTACATATTATGGTTTATATCTAAATGCCCCCAAAGAGTCTCCTACACTTATAGGCAGTGCTCTGATGGTGACTGAATTATAGCAGCATCAGAGTTCACTTGCTATCAGGAGGTAGAACCTGGTCACAAGAACAGGTCACTATGGGCAGGACCCAGAAGGTTATATCTCCCTTCTTCGCTCCTTCCTGGATTCTTTGCTTAATGTCCACCATCACACCATGAGAAACTCTCCTCTGCCATGCCCTCATGCCATGCCATCCTGCCTTGGAGCCGGCTGGCCATGCAAGGACTAAGACCACTGAACCATGAGCCAAAATAAACCTTTCCTCCTTTAAATGTTGGGCAAGTATTTTGGCCCAGCAAAGAAAAAGTCACTACTGTATAAAATAAACTTATTTGTATAGATTTATCTAAGGAAACATTGAATAAGGGACTTTATCTTATTCATCACTGTAAACTCTGCCAAACAGAAAACATACTCCAAATGCCCAATACCTGTACGGTGAATGATTAACCCTGGTATGCTCTTAATTTTTTCCACAGTGCTATAAATTCATAGACTACTTTCAGGTATTAGAATTCTTAGTCAAGCAACCTCCTGGAATTCTCTTCCTATGCAATATTTGCCAGAGCAGACACATCACCCTGGACTATCTATTAACCTCACTTCCCAGTACTCTAACAAAACTGGTTATGCTAATACGCAGGCCCCTGTGCCACACGGTAGTATTGGTATCATTTACAGTATAGGAACAACAGGGTAATGGATTCTGACACCTACCGGGTGTCACTTCTAAAAGTATGGCCTTGGACAAAGTACTTAACCTTCTTGTGCTTTCAGTTACTTCCTTTGTAAAATGGGAATAATAACAGCATGTAATTCATGTAGTCACTGTGAGAATTAAGTGAAGTTTATGAAGTCCTAGGAAGAGACATGATACATTTAGGGAGCACTTATATTACTCACTCTGGCTTTTGAAAGTCTTTCTGTCTGAGCCACTTTTCCCAGTTTCATCAGTTTCCCTACTCTCTACATTTCCATAGCATTTAACTGTCTTTAAATGTTTATTTAAACTATTTCACACACACACACACTCCCAAGAAAATGTACACACTTCAGAAAAAGAAAAATAGTACAATGTTATTTCAACAGATGGTATTAACCTTATATGGGGGACCCTAGAAGATGTCATATATCACAGAAAACTCACTGCACTGCAGGCCCTCAGAGAAGAAACTGAAAATGCATGTGACCAATGACCAAGGTTACCAAAGCAGCACTTCATTGTACTAATAAATGTCTGGAAGCTAATGGCCACCACTCGGAGCACCTCTTGTAATTATGGAGGCCAAAGGTAACTTGCATTAATCTCATGATGTCTCAATAAATTTACTATTAAAATATTTATACAGACTTTTCTTCTCCTGATGTGTGTATACATTTTCTTGGCAGACTGTGTATACATACTGCTATTGTGACGAGATCTGAATATTACTCAACATTAAAGATGTTATTTCTAAACACTCTATCTACCAAGTGTTTAGCATATAAATACTACTGGGCAGCAGATATTTACTGAATAAAATATCAACTTTTATAAGTAAAGTCAAATCACAAGCTTGCAGGTGAAAATAATATACATATGATGTTGAACAATACAACCAACAATATTAACTTTCAAAAATAGTTCAAATTTTTTACATAATTTAGAAAGTGTTACTTAATACAAAAAGGAAGTATCAGCTTACTCCTACTTCAAAGTATTTAAAATTTATATATATATGTATTAAAATATGTAAAGCAAAGGTATACTAAATGAATTATAGTAGGATAGGAATAAAAATGAATTGCTGATTTTAGAGTTTATTTAAACAGAGACTTCCTAACATTTAAAGTATCTAATGTAAATAGTCTTTTAGAAACACATATATACATAAACAAAATATATATTAATTAAAAACAAGATCTGCAAGCTAAATCAATGTTATAAAATTTTCAAAAATACTCACTTATATAATGCATTCCTAAATTCAGGAGTCATAAAAAGTGTTTGCAGAAGGCTATTCAAATAGCAAGTCATTGCCTGGTTTACTAGTCCCACATATCCTTTAAAGAGAAAATGCAAATATACATAAATTAGCATATGGATATAAAAAAGAAAACTACATGAATTTAATACATAATTGAGATTCAGAGGTTAAGTTTACTCTTGGGAATTTCCTTTCCCTTCAATAGCACCTAAGGAAGATCTCTTCTCCAATATGTATACCATATGAACCTTTTTTTTTTTTCCAGAAACAGTCACAATATCTTGTTATAGACATGTCCAGAGATATATATGGCTATTATATGGCATTTAATGAAATTTTAAAAGTAATGTGTTTAATATAGTATGTTTTATTAGCACAGAAATAAACTTCCAGAAATTTAACAGTTGTAGATTTAAACAGAAAAGTATAAACACACTCACTTTAAGTAACATATATCCCCAACACAGGAAGACTGAATATAACCAATCATCCTTGTCATCAGCCCTATACAGCAATTTCTAACAAGAATTAGTAACAGGAGATGTGATCCAAGTGTACACTGAACATGTAAATGAAAAAAAATTATTATAGTAAAAGACATATTGCCATTAATCCCTCTCAAAAATTCTTCCCCCTCATTTCGAACACACTTATCCCATCATTACTGCTACCTTCTGAAGCAGTTCTGAAGGTCACAATTTCATGAGTGTTTTTACAAGGTGTGATCAAAAATATGCTGCCAGGGCCATCCAGTGGAAAGCCAGATTCACAAAAATATTACAGTATGTCCTCATCCACCTATTCATCAGATCTGGCGCCTCAAGACTTTTGGTTCTTCCCCAAAGTCAAAATGACCATGAAAGGTAAATGTTTTCAATTGACTCAGGACATTAAAGCCAGGACAGCATAAAAGACACTACTAAAAATGACTTCTAGAATAGTTTCAGAAAGCAGCAACAACAATGAAATAAGTGTTTGAAGCCAGAAAGAGCATTCTGAGGGAGATTAATTGCAATGTGTTTGTTGTTGTTTTGTTCTTTTGAGGCACAGCCTTGGTATGCAGTGCAGGCAGGCCTTGAACTTGCTTATGTAGCACAGGCTGGACTCCGCGCACGGTGATCCTTCTGCCTCAGCCACCCAAGTGCTGGGATTATAGGTGTGCACCACCAGGTCCGGCCTAGCAGTAATGTATTTTTAACTGCAAATTTTTTAAAAAATTTAAAAATTTATTTTACTTTTAGATCACACCTCATATGAGATAAATTTATTACATGAAAATTAACAAAAGCTGAGGCCAAGAAATGAAAAGCAACTTCAAATATGAAATTCTACAGGTTAGGTGCTATGCAAAGAGTGATACAGACTCACACTATCTGCACCAATATGATTCCAAGAGAGACCAAGTAACTATCTCATTTTATTCTAAGGCTCAACCTTCAGTGTTTTTTTATGACTTTCATCTTTAAGAACATGTGTACATGTGTTTATGTATTTTACTCTATACTATCACATAATCAAAAACTGCTTCAATTCCTGACCACCCTCACCTCAATTTCTCATACATCCGCTCCTTAATCCATTTAGATTAGACCTTTATCTCACAGTTCTGTAACTACCTACTTATTTCTTCCTCTACCAGACTGTAAGAACAAGGGTCAAATATAATTTCTTTCTTGCTCTACTACTGCCTAGAACAGCAGCAGATGTACATGACGGACTTGTGTATGATTTACGAGTAATGTAAATCTGTATGAAATCCAGTCTAATTATTAATAGTGAAAAGCATCATTCTATTCTTAGTTCATATAAACAGACTCTTCCCCACCAACAACAATAGTGAGGCAAGCTGAGCCTGCCTGGGATTTCCCTTTCCCATCTTCTTCCATTGCCTCAATAGTCAGAGACTACTGATCTATTTGGAACCTTAACAGGTAAATGAATACTGCTACTGCCCTTTGTGTTACTAAAGACCAATCCTGCATCACTTATTTGTGACTCTGTTTCTCTTCTGCGGTCTTCAGGAGTGAAAGGATGAAGGGAAAAGTTAGAGGTGGAAGTAACAGCAATTATTTTTTTCATCACTCTTTATTTTGCCATTAGCAATAGAAATCATACAGAAATCTATGATCCTTTGTACTTGACTTAGTACGATATTTAAGCAGAATGAAGTATCTCATATAAAAGGGACTACTTTTTTTCAAAGTATGAAGATTTTAGTGAGACCAATAAAAGTACTAGTGAATTCATAGAAATGGTCTGTCATTATGTATCATCTAAAACAAACTTCAAGGGACAGCTATGCTCAAGTGGGTTCCATATCTGAAATAGTTGTGAATCACTGTTTTTAGTAAAAGCCTGTAAAAAAGAAGTAAATTTGTGAGACATATGCCTTCCCATAGAAGCCACATGTAGAAAGAAATCCTTTATGTACCAACAACTAAGGAAGGAGAATTCAAACAGGCCAACTCTTGGAACAGATACAAGTAAAACAAAGGTCAGAGAAACTAGCCAAAGACAAGTGTCATAAATTTAGTTTCTAATTACTTAGGAACCACACCAGCCTTCAATCCTCTATTCACCCCTCAAAATTCATCTTCCCACCAATCAGCTGTCAACAGCACTGACTCCCAGAGGGAGGTGGGAGACAAGATGTGAAACAATTTAAGTCTTAAACCCTTTGCACTTCTGAGAAACGTTCTTATAGCACTGAGCTAAACTCATGAGAGCATTTTCCAGTAAAAACATTTCACAGATGGTGCCAAGACTTATAGCATTTTCTTAAGAAAATGCAAATTCAATAGTGCCTAACAAAATAATTTTTGAAGTACAATCCCTTTACATCCTCTTTTATGCTCTGTGGTATGAAACAAAAGGTTCTATTGATATAAATTATCCTAAATACTAATATGGCCAGTTTCTATTGATATTACAAGTCTGCAATATGATTAGCCATGAGGAAATTATTCCAAGGTCTAATTACAAAAGATAGTAAATGGAAGATTATAGATCATATTAAAACAAAACCCACAATGTAACTTATAGAATTAGCCATGCAAAGGCTTCTCTGAATCCATTTCTATTTTTTTAACATAAAAAATACAAAAACTTGAAAATGACATAATTCACTTCAACCATAATAGATACAACAAACCCAATACATGGTCTATCTACTTCAAAATGGAAATAGGTTCTTCATAGTTTGCTGTAAAAAATAAAGTAACAAAGACTTTCTAAAGTTGACTTAAAAAATTTAAGATGAGAAATAAAATAGGAAACCATCAAAAAGCCTTCCTTCAAAATATCCAGTATCTTTAAGGTTAATACTAAATAGAGTCAGTAACAAAATACTAAGAACAACAATGGGTCAAAGGAAAAGGAAACCACACTCTTGTTCTAACTTAGCTGTTGCTAGCTAGTAGTCTCGCTCCAGCCTCAGTTTTCTTAACCATAAAATGAGAGAACTAGACTGGTAATTGCTAAGATTACTCTTGACCAAGCAGAGTACTCATCCCATCATGCCTCATGATTTTATGAAAACACAACACCAACAAATCTTACCAGTTTCTGACTTATTCAAAATAGATGAGTAGGAGTAACTTTGGCTGACATAATCACTGGTGGAGCCCAGAGAACCTTCTCTTGGAAGTGGACCAACAAACCTGTCATGAACAGTGTCATCTACATTACTGGAATCCTCCTGAAATGTACAATAACCAATATTTACTGAATAGGAAACATACTGAAACAATGAAAAAAGACATACTAATTGTTGAGGCAATGAAAAAACAATGTGGAATTACTACTGTTACCAAGGCATTCAAAGGAATATACATCCCCATAATTTCCTGTAGAAAGGTTTGAATAATGTTTTATATAAAATGCTTTGGAAGGGTCCTGATGGTAACCTTCCAAAGTGCTTACTTTTTCAATTTAAGTTCTCTTTCAAATGTTCTGTTTACACAGGAAAAGGAGTTTTTTTTTGTTTTGTTTTTTGTTTTTTGTCCTAATAAATCAAAGCACCACTATGGGTTCCTTGATATCTAACACTCATTTTTACATCCTCAGGGCAGACCTGGCAGGTAGAGAATAGTTAATAGCTGCTGGATGAGTTAAGAGTTACACATAGTATCTAACAAGAAACTTCACATCTACGTGGAAGATATTGAAAAGATCAAGGGACATAAAAACAGCACAAACAATTAAGACAAAGCTGAAGAATAATTACTATGCATTTTAAAACATAAATCCCTGTGACATAGGCATAGAGGGACTACGAAGCTGGAGTTCACCACTTTGTTATCACTGGCTGTCTCGACCATCAGTGCGGTGTCGCCTCCTGTAAGGTGACAAGGGGGCAAGAGAACTAGTAGGCTCTCCATTAGTGCCAGGGACAGTAGGCCAGACAACCTTGGGATGTTGAATTCCGTATCCCCAGGAGCTGGGGTAGCCAGCAGATCAGCATCAAGGGCAAGTGTGGACAGGAGGCATGGCAAGCATCACAGTGCTGCCGCCCATGGCAATGTCAGTGCCAGCTGTGGGCCTCATCATCAGCCTGGCGCTGGGCACCCAGAGGTAAGGAAGGCCGTTCTGCATAGTGGGCTTCTCCAGGACTGTCCATGTCTCCAGCATGCCTCCTTAGAGGCCTTGGTCACCATCTCTGGTTCCTTCAATGCCTTCACTGCTCCCTCCCTGCCCTCTTTCCTGGAGTCCTTCCTCCCTCTGTCCCTGGCCTTGCTGGCCAGTGTCGTACCTTCTAATGTCCCATTAGTCCCCTCACCCACTTCTGTCAATGTCTACCTTCCTCACCACTCTGCCCCTGCACATAACAATGCACCCCTCCCTGTGACCTGGGTCCTTCCAATAAAGGTTGTCGTGTGAAAAAAAAAAAACATCAAAAATATAAACCCCCCAATTATGAATCTAGAGTTTGCCAAATCCATAGTGAATTTATATTGAGTATCACTGACACTAGGCAAAATCTTATGACGAGATTAAGGAAGTTAGAAAGCATATTCTGGTATTGCTTTGGTACAAATGGTGCTTAGTTACTATCCATTGTCCAAAAAATGCATTTGTATTCACAATAGACTTCTAAATTAAAAGTATCAAATTGAACAGTTTTCTCTGAGCAAACTTCATAAACTCTCTGAACCTTAGTTTCCTCAGTCTGTAAAACAGCAAGGTGAATCAGACCAAATTTTCTTAATGTTTTAAAATGTACAACCTGTAATGTATTCTAATGCCATATATTTGTAACCATCAGACAAGTTTACTTCCCATAGTTCTACATGTTTTCTTTTGTGGTACTGGGGATCAAACCCTATGAGTGCTGAGCTACATCCCCTTCCCTTTTTAACTTCATTTTAAGACAGGATCTCACTAAGTTGCTCAGACTGGCCTAAAACTTAAGATCTTCTTGCCTCAGTCTCCCAAGTACCTTGGATTACACACCTGGCCACAGTTTTAAATTTAAGAACAAAAAGTATTTTGAAGAATAGTTTTATAACTTATAGATGCTAACCTTTTCAAAAGTCTTAACTCTCTGGGAAAATGTCCCTCAAATTTGGAGTTGATATTCTCTTAGGCTACTAGACTTGAAAGCCTATTAAAATAAATGTGAACTGCAGTCAGCACTGGAAGGACAAAAAGAAAGCATTTAACTTACACACTAGTTATTCCGAAAAGCGGGTGGTAGAGGTAGGTGGGGTGGGACAGTAGAAGTGGAAATGGTCTTCCACAAAATACCAAAAAAACTGACAAAAATAACAATTTGCATCAACCAAGTACATACTTAACCAAAGGAAAGGCTATTAAAACACAGGAGTCTCTGATGTTTTAACCTTACTTAGACCTACTGCCACCACTGGTACAGCAGTAGCCTAGGAGACAGCAGCCCATATTAACTCCAGTGTGGCAACAGACTGTACACATAGATAATGGTGCTATGGATGGCCACTATATTCATGTTATCACATACACTTTAGCAAACTAACATACAATGAAAAAATAATAATTTATTACACAAATTATAAAACATCTCTCTCCTCCTTCCTTTGGAAAATTGTATTCCCAAATAGTAGGTAAAAGTACACAAAAAATTTTAATATAAGGCTCTCTAACTGGCTCACCAGCAGTATTTGTGGCTGTTCACCATCTTTATCTGTCAAATGCAGAAAGTTCTTCTTTCCTGGCTCAAAATTAGCATCAAGAAGTGTCTTGTCACTGGTATGATCCAGTGGAGCCTATGAACATAGAATATAGTGTTTCAGATTATGAGAAACGTTAATTGTAATAACAAAAAATATCTAATTGGGCACATATCTACATTTAAATAGTTTTTTTTTTTTTCAGTAATGATTCTGGCAAATTTCTGTTCATCTAGGTTAGAATGAACTCCTCTACGCATGAACTGAGATGGCTAAACTCACTCACCAGTGCACCTACACTGACAGAGGCTCACGTTCTCCAACATCCACAAAACCAAAGAGAGAGACAGCAGGGGTTAGGAGACAGCATTAAGTACTATACAAAAAAGAATCTACAAACACTGTATTTACTGATTTCCTAAAATGTATGCAAGATAATATTTAATAATGTTCATGAAAATTACATACAAATAATTTTATAGAACTTAAAATTATAAAATGTTTTGATACATGAATATAGTAAGAATTCCAGATAACCAATACACTTATCCACCAAATCAAAATAACTACATAACTAAAATGTAACTAATGCAATATAGCCTTCAGAAAAAGCCCTTAAGGAGAAGCCTGTCCTAGAAAATGATACCAATTTCAAGTCTACTACCAGGATTTGAAGGATCCCAGGGGGGATGGAAGTGATCATTCCTTGGAAAATTAAATGTCTAACACTCAATAGTCTCCACTAATTCCTTTATGTGACTGTTACTCTGACATGTACCCTCCCACTGGTGCATGAGAAATGGAATTCTGCACCCTAATGACTACTTATCCACACTCCCAACCGTTAAGAAAAATAAGGGACTAAGTATGAGCATCTTCTTGCTGTTTTAAAAAACATTTTGTTACATTAAGCACAGAGATAATGTCTCCGTAAAAAAACTCATTTTATGGAAATACTTTTGTTGGGAAATTATCATTGTATAAAAATACAAGTATGAGGGACCCAAAAAACTCAACTTTAAATTTGGGCAAGGTATTTCACTTTCCTGTGACTCAGTTTCCTCACTTATGAGACCACAACAGCAACTACCTCAGAAGGCAGTTATTAAGACTAAGTATTATCTGTATAGAGTCAAGAAGAATACAAAGAGTAATCAACATATATGATAAATGTTTAAATTTAAAAATTTATTGTAGTAAGAGACACACTGCCATTAATCTCCCTAGCAGGAGGACTTCCAGAACTGCTTCAGAAAGTGACTTGAACAATGGGTTAGGCGTGTTTGAAGCAAGGAGCCTTCTGAGAGGGACTAATGGCAATGTGTCATTTACTATAACAATATTTTTAAAATTCAAATAGTCACTGTGTTTTTCAGTTATACCTTGTACTAAGAATATAATAAGTACAAAATTAAGTGTTGAGTAAATAAACTTTTAGATCTATTGTACTTTTTACTAAGACTACCATAAGTGCAAATAAGTGTTGAGTAAATCACACTTTTAAATCTATCTATTAACTTTACCTCATATTCTGAAATTCATGCAAAAAATAGGACACAGAAAACCTAGCACTCATGTTACCTATTCTAGTTCAGAAACCTCTGAATCTTAAGGAAAGAAGTTATTGCTGAGCTTTTTAAATCCTTCAGCAAGACATTAAAGATCAGATGACAGAGCTGGAATACAGACGTTTTACTTCAATAAACATATCTGTGAGTTTGACGTGACTGGCAGCTAAATGGGTTTGGCTTTCAGAGGAGTGCTAGAGTGGTAATCAAGTAAAAACAAGCATATGTATAGCAATATATGGAAGGCAAATAAGAATGCAGCAACGAAGCCATAGCAAAAAAAGAGAAATGCGTAATCCCAACATAGAACTACTTGAAGTTATTATAAAGGAGTGTTTATGAAGATTATCTATGGAGGACATGAAATTAATATTATGAGATTTCTGCCATCAAAATAGTCTACCAAATCAGAACACACAAATGAATAACAACCATAATAAAAGGAGACTGTGTTAAGTCTCAGGCCAAACAAGAAGTGCACTGAACTTCAAAGAAGAAACTGCTTTTAAAGAGGCACGGGGAAACATTAAGCAAGGCTTCTTAAAGGTAAAAGATGAACAGGATGTGTGAAGACACACCGCAATTTGCAACTATCCTTTAAACTGGAAAAGAAGAGGCAACACCAAAAATTTCATGGTGGTGTGCTAGGAAACATTCAAATTTTAAGATTATTATTTATCTTTCCATATCTTGCTAGAATACCAAATACTGGTCAATATTGAGAGAAAACAACTACTTTAAAACATTAGTTCTGTAGTTTTTAAAAATCCACATACTGTATATATTATGGAATAGAAAACAAAATATGATTTTAAAGGCAAGTCAGGGAACACGAAGCATCTTTGATTCTCTTGTGGAGACAACTTAATTATGCTCTCCATATATGAAGGAGAGATGTGTACCGTTTTGTCTGCCATGAGAGGTATTTTCTTGGAAAACTTAAAGTAGCAATAGCACAGCACAGAAAGGGGCACTATAAACAAAAATATGAAGATGGAAAAATGGGACACTGGTGTTAATTAGTTCAATATCCAGTAGTTAAGATTACAAAGATGTAAAGGACCAATCACAGTTTGTTGTAAATATTAAACAAGGAATGTGATTTTTTAGCAGTACGTAGTGAGCAATGATTGAAGGTTTCTGAACTAGACTAGGTAACTTCAGTGCTAGGATTTAAGGTGATTGAAGAACATAGGGATGTAGCCCAGCGGCATAGCACCTGCCTGGCAAGTATGAAGTCATGAGTTCAATTCCTGGTATCCAAAAAAAAAAAAAAAAGAACATTCCCACAGAAATATGCAGGCTAAAAGTGGACTAAGATAAGAGATAGAAAAAAAACTATTTACTAGTACAGATGAAGTCCAACTCAGCAGTCTCCTTTACCATCTCATGCAAAACTGATCAATGCCCCTGTCACATTTTGAATGCTGGTTTCCTTCCAAAATTATTAAGAGGTAGGGCCTTTAGGAGGCCTTAAAGGTGGAGTCCTCATGAATGAGATTGATTCCTTTATAAAAGAGGCACAAGGAAAGATGTCTATTAAAGGTTCCTGAAATTTTATTTTAGTAGTTGCAATTGTTTATTTTCATATTAAATATTCATACAGGATTGGACTAAATGGTGACCTAAACATATGGTCATACCATATGTCTACCAATAATCCTCCTTCAAACTCTATGAAATGTCTAAAAAAATAGTTTTTTAAAGAAAAATCTGGCAACAATGCAGGAAAACAAAGAACGCCCTTAACAATCCAGAAATACTGAGAAACTAAAAAACAGAAAGTAGGTGGATGGGCTCTATGAACAAACAAAACTAGAAGAAAACTCGGCCCAGAATTCCTAGGAGAAAACTTGTGGAGGTAAAAGAGTAATAGGGAACACTACACTAAGGTCCAGAGGTAGATCTGGGCACCCATGAGAGTGAGCCTGTGGGAAAAGGCATTCTGCAAAATTTGGCTTCTCTTCCTTTCTGCCTTAGACCAAGCAATAGACAGCAGTACCTATTTCCTCCCAGAGGAAAGGAAGGGCTCTGTGGCCAGTGAGGCTGAGTGTGCTGTCTGGCTTGGTACTGATCACCCCCAACCTCACAGTCAGGAACTAGCTGATTCTAGGACAAATTACAAACACACCGTACCCATCCCTTCCTCACAAAAATGAGGAATTCAAGACAATAAATTTAATCAGCATCCACAGAGAAGTTAACAGAGATTCTCAAATACAAAGGTGAGTAGAAAACAAGAATTACTGAACATATGAAGAAATGCTACATTATGAAAGACATAAAAGCAGCAAACGAAGGAAGGTATAGGACTAAGGAAACAAGAATAATTAGAAGACTGAAGAAAGTAAATATATCATCGAAGATATCTGAGAAGACTATAGTCATTAAAAACTATTTTTTGAGCTTGAGAGTAAAAGCTATCCATATTCATATACAGAAAAAGAAAATATACAAAAACCAAAATGTTATCCAGGAATACAGCTAAACACATAAATATAAGTAAGTTACCTAAAGATAATTTTAGTTAATACTGAGATATATATCTATATCTATATTCACTCCCTTTTTATGTCCATTTCTTTTATTTCAAAAATTAGATCACAAAATGTGTGATTTATATACTTTTCATTGAAAAATATAAAAGTAAACACAATATTGTGATTTATACTGAGTAAGCACAATATTATGACAGTCCCCTTTCATACATGAAAAAACTTATGGCGTGACATTATGTAAACTTGTGGACAACAAAAGCCGAATCCAGTATGGCAGCAAAGGGAAGAGGGATCCAGTTACTGAGATGAACACTGGTTCTTACTGTAGTTGTTATGATATTGCAGACACCAAGACAGCCAGGATTTAATATAATCATTAGTGACAGCAACAATAACAATGGCTATAATAACATTACTAGCAGCTTAAGAGAAGATGCTTTAAACCTGGGGTTTTACCATATCAGCAGTATTGATTCCATTTCCCCACACCAAATCAAAGGTTCCATTTATGTAGCCTACTTTGTTGGCTACATCTTCAAAGAGCTTTCTGACTGGAGTAGATGCTGGTAAATTTAAAGCGATCCGTTCGTTCACTGTCTTTGAATTAGTAGTATCTTGTATTATACATAAGACTCTAGGTTCTTCAGCAGCATTTTCTATCTGAAATTTAAAAATATACGTTTTAAATATTATTTATCTTTAAAGGAAAACAATGACTATAATTACCATAAAATATAATTAAATGTATTAGAATCCACAAAGAGCCCATTCTGTGCTAATATTTAGTATGTCTGAAACACACTCCAATGGCTACGTCAAACACATAAGCACTATGTATGTTTTGAAAAAACTGGGGCATATTTCAGAATCAATATTGCAAAATCTGATACTTAAAAATGTGTCATTACCATGCTAGCACAGTCAAACCATAGATTTTATGGTCTCCTGAGGAAATAAAGGGAATTCTGCAGAAGTGAGGTAAGGACTAACGATTATAAAATCTTTAACGAAGGGATATAGGTAACCAGGTCTAATCTTTATGCTGCTGTACCCACAGACCAGACGTCCAAAAGCATTCATTTATCAAAGTGTTGGGAAGGGGCCAGGGAGATAGATCAGCAGTATAGCACCTGCCTAGCAAGCACAAGGTTCTGAGTTTGATTCCCAGCAACAACAACAACAAAAAAAAGGGTTGGGAGCTGATGAACTTAGCCAAATAAATCAGCCAGGAGAAGGGAAAAAATAAAACTTTTCAATTGCCAACCTGGAAATGAACCAGGGTCACAAATTCTCTTTTTTCATCTAGTGTATAATTCAGTAACTATCAAGACAAACGTTTTTAAAACATTTGTCTTGTTACTGAATTGTGATAGAATTTCTAAAAAAAAACGCTAAAATTTCTCAAATAAGCTATGCTCCTTCTGAAGCTCTTGAAAAACACCTTTTGGGGTGGGGGGGGGTACTGGGAATTGAACTCATGACCCTGAGCTCGCCAGGCAGGTGCTGTGCTGCTGAGCTATATCCTTGGCTCTCTTTTCCACTTTTCAGAGGGGAGGTGGTTACATCATACTATATCAAATACTTAAATGGAGAAATTCCTTTCCTTTTCTTCCTCTTGTAATGGCCATCTCAATGACCAGCATTATCATCTACTTAGCTTCTAAAACCAGATAGTAGCCAGGTGTGGCGGCGCATGCCTATAATCCCAGCACTCTGGAGGCTGAGGCAGGAAGATCTCTGTGAGTTCGAGGTCAGCCTGGGCTACAAGGTGAGTTCAAAACCAGCCTGAACTGTATAGTGAGACCGTGACTCAAAAAGACCAAAATAAACAAATAAATACCAGACACCTAAGATAAACATCTTCCTATACTACTTCCAATACTACCATAAAGCCTACCAATTCTACTTTCTAGATATCTTTGAATGTCTCTTTACTCCTGCCTGTCAGTCAGAATATCTTACCAAAATAATGGCAATGAGTTTCTGGTAAGTTAAACTTTTTCAATCTTGTAGTCCTTCAATCCAGAGAAGCATTTTTACTATACAAATCTGGTAATGAAAGTCAGATGTGAGAACTCTTACTATCCCTGTAACAGGCAATTCAAAAATAAGAACTGCACACGAGAATTTCTTTCAACAAAATCAACCCCAACCTTTTGTTGCCGCTATAGTATACATTTAAAAATAATTACTACTGATTAGTAGTGAAAACAGGACACCCACTGAGTTTTTTGTTTGTTTGATGAAGTAATCCAATTATACTTTGTTTCTGCAATATAAAATTTTGGGTTTGCAAGGGATCATATAAATTAAGATTAACCCAATTAATTTAGAACACAAATAAATTGCTATAGAAGAATATTTAAAACAGATTGGCTAGCACCATATTTCAGACAAATCAAAATATTTAATTACCAACAATCCATTTGATTTTAAATTACAAAATTAAGTTAAAAATTACAAGAAATCCATTTCTACAAAATAAAAAGTAAAAAAGAACATTACTAATATATTTCTCTAGGAAGAAAAAAAAAGCCTTCACTGTAAATATAAGCTGTGTATTACATATTTAAAACCTAAACTAACAAATATAAAATGGGCCCTTTAAAAAAAAACTGGTGACAGAGTGAACAACTCAAAATAATTTCAAAAACACTGTTATAGTTCCAAATAAATCAAGTGTTCTTGGTATAAAATACTTATCAAGATTTTAAAGCTTTGGACAGGTTAGAGTTGATGGTCCAAGGAAGATGATCCTACCTAAGAATTTGGAAATCAGAAGAGCAGTATAGCTATGTACGTAACAATGGTAATGTGGCAACATTATGTGGCTAGACTTTATCAGTTCCCCGTTCTCTCCCTAAATATGCAAGTGCATAAGCACTCCAGACTCCTTTTCTTCCACAGAATCCTATCTGTAGGATTTGTGCTACAGTAAACACAAAATTTAATTTCATGTGTGCCTTTTATTCCTTTTAATAACAGCATTCTTTTCTGCACATACAATTATACTCTGTTCTTTAAAAAACTAGTAGGACTATAAAAAAAAAATAAGAAAATGACTTCTTAGATGACTATTAACATTTTGGTGTAGCCAGGCATGGTGGTGCACACCTATACTCCCAACACTCTGGAAGGTTGAGGCAAGAGAATCCCAAGTTCCAGCCTGGGAAGTTTAGTGAGATCCTATCTCAAAAAAACGAAAAGGAAAAGTTAAAGGAAAGATGGAGGGAGGGAGGGAGGAAGGAAGGACAGGCAGAGGGAGGGAACAGAGGGAGGAGAGGAGAGGGGAGGGGAGGGGAGGAAGGTAGGAAGGAAGGAAGGAAGGACGGAAGGAAGGAAGGAAGGAAGGAATGAAGGAAGGAAGGAAGGAAAGAAAGAGGGAAGAGAAAAAAGAAAGGAAGGGAGAGAAAGAAAAGAGCAAAGAAATAAAGAGGAAGGAAGGAAGGAAGGAAGGAAGGAAGGAAGGAAGGAAGGAAGGAAGGAAAGAAAAAAAAGAAAAGAAAGAAAGAAAGAAAGAAAGAAAGAGAAAGAAAAGAAAGAAAGAAAGAAAGAAAGGAAAGAAAGAAAGAGAAGAAAGAAAGAAAGAAAAAGAAAAAAGAAAGAAGAAAGAAAGAAAGAAAGAAAGAAAGAAAGAAAGAAAGAGACAAAGAAAAAGAAAGAAAGAAAAAAAAAAAGGAAGGTAGGGCTGGCACATAGCTCAATGATAAGTTTCTACTATTGCAAAAACAAAGAAAATCACTCACTCTGCATATTCTTCCCAAGTATTTTCCTACACACCACAGACACACAGGTTTCTTAGTCAAACAATGAATTAAAATACTTATACTACAGCCTAGGGAGGTAGCTCAACAGTGGAGCACTTGCCTACTCTGCCCAACACTCTTGGGTTCAATTCCTAGCACAGTAAAAGAAAAGAAAAGAAAAGAAAAGAAAAGAAAAGAAAACAAAACAAAACAAAACAAAACAAACAAAAAAACACCCATAAAGAATATACATGCTGTTTTGTAACTTTTTCTTATTTATAAATATATTGTGAAATCTTCTCTTATGCTGTACTAACCTAACTCATCACTTGAACAGCTGAAAAGTATTTTTAATACATGAATTAATAACTTAATTCTATGATACTGAGGATAGGCTTTATTACACTTTAAAAATTATTTCTATGATGTAAACAAAATAGATGTAAAACATAAAATTATAATTTGTTTTACAAACAACTCACAGTACTATCACAGTTCTAAGACTAAGAATAAAGTGAACAGCAGTTACATATAGCACTGTTTATGTTGAACATTCTGCTGGTGTCTAAAACTTTGCACTTTATTTCCTAAAAATATCTAGACCAGTTATATTTTACACTTGAATTCTAGTATAATTTAAACAAATACATAAAATGCTCTTTTTCTTTAAAGCTGTAGGATAGCCACTCATAAATTATTACTTTACATTCAGTATTCTACACCATTCTTTATTTCACCCATAATTTATCTAACATGTGGCTGCCATCCACAGATGTCATCAACCTTTCAAAATCAGTACTGCCAACTAAATTTCCTCTTTCCCCACCTCCAATTTGGGGACTGATAATACTTTTTCCTGCCATCTTAAGATATCATCAATAAATTGTACTAATAATCTTATAACAGCTTTTCAACAGAAAAAGCCCTCTACAATATAAATTAAGTATGCAATTTTCCAAAATACGTCAATGTAAAAGGACATTTCTCAGAACTGGGAAACTAGGGGAGCTATCTTAATATCTTTGAGGTTCTACTCCAGATTTATACCATTTATGCCCAAAGAAAAGAACAGTAGTATCTTTAGGTGGATTTTAGATGGCTAAATACTACTGGTTCTTCTCTTCCTCTTTTTCTTTTCCCTTTTGCCCTGAGTATGGCTGATCATGTGAATACCCAGGACCAAGGGAATCTGACAGAGTGATAATGTATAACTTAAAGCAGGGCCTTGAAAAACCAGCAGCTTCTGCTTTCGTACTTCTCAGAGGCTTCCCTATGACAAACCAGCCAGCATGTAAGAAATCCAATTACCCTGGGATCAACATGCTGAGTGGAAGCCTTAGCCATCCATGCAGAGAAGGTGGTCATTCAGTGGAAGCACTGTGTCTGACATCTGACAAAGCCCTCTTGGACACAGCATGCGAAGTCACCCACCAGCCCACTGGAGCCAGGTAATGATGCCACGTGGAGAAGAAATAAACAGCTAAGCCCTTGTTCAAATTGCACCCTAAAAAAATTATGAGTATACCAACTAAGTGTTCTTTTAAATACCTAAATTTTAGGGCAAGCTGTTATACAACAATAGGTAAAAGCACAGCAAAGAAAGTTAAACAGACAAATTCTATTTGGGAAAGACGTGATGGGAGTGGAAGAAGGCATTTAAGTACTATATCCAATATTAAGGAAAGACATCTGGGGATATATCATAAATCAGGGAAGGGGACAAAATTCACTAGTCAAAAGATCTAGTGAAAGAGAAAACAAATACAAAGGGCTTTTTTTTTTTTAAGCCATGTATTCTATTGAGGAAAACATTTACTATACCTAGATGAGCTCTTAGAAGAGCACAAAGTTTTCTATACAGAAAATCTAGCCATGTACAAAATAGATGTAAATCATAAAATTATAATTTGTTTTACAAACAACTCACAGTACTATCACAGTTTTAAGACTAAGAATAAAGCAAACAGCAGTTACATACAGCACTGTTTATGTTGAACATTCTGCTGGTGTCTAAGCTCACTGCAGAAACAAAGCTGGACTTCCCAGCAAAATCTGAAGAAAGAATCTTAAAATCTTAGACCCTGCTGAAGGCAAATTTGCATTGTCCCCTTATTTTGATATTTGTAATATTTCTAAATTCAAATCTGAGTTCTCTCCTGTTGAAATCACAATTTTTATCTACAAAAATAGTTCCTACATGTTTCTTATTGTAGAACACAAACTAAGGTATAAAACTGATGATATATGCTCAGCATGTGATTAGCATGTAGAAAATAATATTAAAATTTAAAATTATCATTATATCTTTCTGAGAAAAAAAACAACAATTAAAACATTATGAAAGGACTTGTTTTTTACCTCTACATTCATAAGGTAATCTGTCTTTCTCTCAAGGCTGTTTCTCTTTTAAAGACATTAGAAAGAATAACACGGTAGCAAACTCACATATACACATGCACAGTACTTTTCTCTACTTCTTGGGACAAAAGTTAACTTGAACTGAGAAATTCAGACTTTAGAGCATTACCCTTCAGGTATCCACAGTTCATGATTAGTATACTTCCAGAGATTCAACAAAGGAATTGATAGTATGAATTTTTGCTGACTGAAATTTATAAAATTTCATTTTTATTTTAACAGGAGACAATTCCTGTGTTACTTCGGGGCCCTAAATTACACGCAAGAAATATTTTATTTTTAAGATCCTCTAACGCATCCCAAATCTCAGCCAACTTTGATGCTATTTATATTTCCTTTTCCTAAGTAATCTCTTGCCACATTCGGGAACATGGAAAAAATTAACAGAGGATGCTTGAGGAGAAAAACTTAAAGCTAAAGGAACCTAAGGAAACAGTTTTTATTCTATAAAGGAACTTGATGTGAATAATGCACACAAGGCTGTCAAGAAGGTAACAACTTTAATTCTTTAAATAAGGTATCTAGATTACAACTTTGTAAATTATTTAATTTCTAGCACTATTACTATTCCAGAAAATGTCTGCAAAACAAATGTCTGTAAACAATAGACACATACCATAACAAAAATCGAAACAAAAGGTTCCATGATTTTTGTAAGTTTTCCCCCTCATTCACTTGTTACAAATAAAAGATTATCAGAGACAAATTCATTAAGATGACTTTTGTATTAAGAAAAACAAAAACAAAATAGCCAAACAAGCATAAAACTTAAGACATGCTTTGTTATTAAATAAAAATACTAACATGCTGTTATTTGTTCTGCTGATTACCACACTAAAGCAATTACATCAGCAGACTACCTGTAAAAATTTCTTCTTCATTTCATCAAAGATATTTTGTCTGCATCTCCAAAACACATCCTATATATGTAAGAATAAAATGAATTATAAATTATTTCTATAAAAGAAGATAGTGAAATGAGAACAATTAACATAAATACATTTATGTGATAAATATATATTAATCACTCTGGTTACTAAAAACTTATGGTATAGTGATAAAAGAGTAAGATTAACAAGGGAAACAGGCACAAGGAGAGGTAGCTTAAGAATTATGTGTAAATCAAATGTACTAGTAAGACACAAAGTATTTTCAATCTACTAAAGGGAATTCTGCAATTCCTTGCAGTACTGGGAATTAAGAGATTCCTAATTTTGCTAGTTTATAAATTTGGGTTTTTCTACATTAGCTATACTTAAAATAAGATTACTTAACATTGTGCCTTACAACTTTTTCCTTTAATATAAATCTCTTTATTAGATAATATGCTTTTCTTACAAAATAAAGAAACATAAAACAGTAACCCACAATCAAAAGATAATCTCTTGGGAGCCCACATGTGTAAACATCATATTGTCTCCCTAGTGTAAGAACCTGAAAGAGTACATAAAACCCCAAACGTACAATAGATAATATGAAAGGGAAAGAAACTGCTCAAAGGAAGGAACAACTGGGATGAGGGACAGAAGAAAAACAAACGAAGAAGACAGGCAAAAAAGAAAAATATATATATAAATTTATATGTATGTATATAGAACGATAGCTAAGATAACTGTACTGCTGATGTCTGGTGGTTTATTGAAAGGAACAGTTAATGCTTAAAATTTTTTATATTATGACCAATTTTGCATGCTTATATCTGGTAACCTGAGCAACTGATTTGAAGAGAACAATATGCAACACAGCAACCATTGGTGAATTCCTACCATCTTGTCTAGTGAAACTCTGTATCGTCTCTAATGTATTTTTAATAATTTTTTTTATTCTCTTTAATGATATGAACATATAAAAAGAGATCAACACATTGGTTTAAAACGTGATTTTGCTTTTACAACAGATACATAATTCTAATAGCAGTACATAAATTTTAGAAAAGCAACTCTACAATAATGTCTACAGCAATTAATAATTTCATACATATATATTACTACTGCCTTCTCTATTATATAGATATATTTTATAGATTGCTAACTTCTAACCAAATTTTATCCTTCTACACATCATCATTTGAATTGTTTATCTCTCAGTATTTCCTGTGCCAAAACATTTAGTGTAAAAATTGCACTGTTCTATTACAGATAAATCATGATTTATTCAACTAATCTATTAATAGGAGTCTAAGCACCATCACTACAGAATTGCTTATCTGAACGTTTTATTATAATTTCTCAAAGAAAGAACTACTAGATCAAAGATTATGAAGATATTTTTAGAATTTTTGATATAGGGTGCTGACCACTTCTTCAACAAAACAGTACTAACTGCCACCAGCTGTCAAAACTGTTCTAGGCCCTTAGAATAGAGCAGTGAACAAACCCTTGTAAAGGAGGCAACACTGTACAGTGGGAACTACACCATAAATAAAGCTAAACTCTCAGGCATCCACCATGCTCAGGGTCTTCACATTTCTGCACCTAGACACTTTTCTCCTGGACAGCCTTACGTCCTTGGCTCAAATATCACTATGGTGGCTCTGAAACATGTCCATAAATTCTTTGACATGACTCTCAGCAAGAGTCTAATTCAACGCCATTTTTACTACAGACCAGTCTTAGTGATTTCTTGTGCTTCCAAGACTGGTTTAGAAAATGCAACACACCTCCTGGCTGTTGCTCAATACCTGCCTTAGAACTCAGCTACTATGGTGTCAATAAGCCAAGCAGACAAATGGAAATACCAATAGCTGTTCCAATCTCAGCCCAAATGAGACCCCAAACTGCATCAGCCACCACACATTTGATGGAGGATGCTTTCAGATTCTTCTAGCACCTAGCTGACCTCTAGCACAACACAAACAAGCTGCCACAGCCCTGCCTTGCCCAAATTGCTATCTTCGAGCAAAAGTTACTGGATTTGCAGACAGACTATAACACAGTGAAAGGTAACTGGAACTGCCATTTCTCAGTCAGGAGATAACTTCTATTACCATTTTAAAATCACAATTCCCTTGGTACTTACCTCCCTTCCTCACTCAGGTTTCCCCCCATAGTTCTTATAGCACCTGAAACCTGCTAATATTTTATTTATTGTTTATCTCGAAAAACATTTCACTCTTTAGACAAGATGACATAGCACATCAGGCTTAATCTGTTCCACTTAAATACCTAATAACTTATATGAAATATATGAAATGATTTTCATCCATTGAAGAAAAGGCAACATAGGACAATGATTCCTATGAAAGCACAAACAAACAAGGTGAGAAGCTTTCCAAGCTGCAGTGCAGGGAAGGGAATCCTCATCTGGCATCAACCTGAGCTACAAAGAGCAAGCTGAGAGTTAGAAGGGATATGGGGAGGCAGTTCAGCTATGATTCACAGGGCAGATACAGTACAGAAGAAAGCTGCTTAAATAGCAAGCCCTGGAGCTCTGCAGAGGAGTGTCCCTTGAATATTCAGCTGAATACTTAGCAAAAGTATATGAAGAAACTGAGATAAAGGAATGAAGTGCAGAAAAAAATCCCTGGAGATCACACAGGTTCCTAGTAAAGAGAGTTAAACAAAATCTCCTAATTCACAAGGCATCAGAGAAGAAGAGCATTCAGTGGTACCAAATCGAGCATAATCTAAAAGCTATTCCATTCTAACCTTTCCAAAGCATAAAGGCAAATTCAAATAGGACTAAACTGTTAGAAGTAAATTAACTGTATCTAATAAAAAAATCTAGAATAAATACGAGAATAAAAATACCTAATGCCTATCAAGGTTAAGAGTCACCATATCTGGTATCCATTTGAAAATAAGGAGGCATGGAAAGAGGCAGAAAACTATGACCTAGAACAAGAGGAAAAGTCAATTAATAAAAACTAACAGAAATGAGACAGAAGACAGAATTAGCACATAAAAAATTTATAACTATATTCTGTATTTAAAGAATGGAAGATTATATGTTAAAGAAAACCATGACACATTTTTCTTAAAACTAGAGTTTCTAGAAATGAAAAGTATTACCTGAGATGAACATAACATGGATGGGATGGATAGATTAAGCAGTGCTTAAGAAAAGGATTAACAAACTTAGAAGACAAAGCACTAGAAAGTATAAAATTAGAAAGAAAAAAAAGAAAAGAACAGAAAAGTGAGGCAACTTTCTTACCAAAAATCACAGAGGCCAGTAGGAAGTGCCACAATAGTTTTTAGTTGTTGACAGAAAATAACTGCCAACCCAGAAGGCAGTATCTAGCAAAATTATCCTTCAGGAACAGTGCTAGTAAACAAGCAGAACCCATGACTTTTTCACATTAAGGACAATTTTTAAAATGGCTTAAGTGAAACTACCTTATACGAAAAATCACGTAAGTTCTCTAACATAGAAAAAATCTTAGACAACAAGAATAAAGATCACATTAAGCAAAATTATGATAAATACAACTTTCTTCTTCTCTTGAATTTGTAAGTACTTGACAGTTGGAAGTAAAAATTAACAGTCTGACATAGTTATAAATATAGGCAGCAGGACTATTTAGCACAAGTATAGTATAAACAGGGGAGGGTGAAAGATATTTATGTGAAATGAAAACAGTAAAGTAACACTAGTGGACTCATAATGTCCAATGTAGTATCTGAAGAAATTGCTTTAATACTACACAAAAAATATAACAAATGGGGCTGGGGATTTAGCTCAGCGGCAAAAGCGCCTGCCTGGCAAGCGCAAGGTCGTGAGTTCGGTTCCCAGTACCGGAGAAAAAACAACAACAAAAAAACAAACAAACAAACAAAAAAATATAACAAACGCTACAGATTACTCAAAACATAATTTTAAAAAGGGTTAATCCACAGAAAGGTAAGTAAAACACATGAAAAAAAGGAAAAACAAAAAAGGATACACTTAAAACTATATGGTATTAATCATGATATGGAATGTAAATGGTATGAATAGACTGATTAAAAGACAGATTGGCAGAGTAGATTCAAAACAAGATATGCTGCCTTGAAGAAACTCAATATAAACAGGGCATGGTTGCTCACCCTGTAATCCTAGGATGCTGAGGCAGGAAGATCTCTGTGAGTTCAAGGCCAACCTGGGCTACATAGCAAGCTGAAGCCCAGTCTGTACTACATAGCGAGACACTGTCTCAAAAAATAAACTTAAATGTTGAGTATGGCAGTGCACACCCATAACTCCAGCACTGGGGAAGCCGAGGTAGGAGGATTGCCATGATCTTGAAGCCAGTCTGGGCTACACAGTGAGTTCAAAGCCAGCCTAAATTACATAACAAGACCCTGTCTCATAAATAAATAAGAAACTCAACACATATTTATACTAATGTACTACATGTAGAATCATACATATTTGATTCTACATGTACAATGTCTGATGTATGTATCAAACATATATTTATGCAAATTTACATATAGCACATATATTTCATGTAAAACATTTTATATGAAAGGGCTAGAAAATACACCATATCTTTATCAATCACAAGAAAGCAATAGGTTAATTTTTAAAAATAGCAGACAAAGCAGACTTGAGAATGAAAAAAGTTATCAGACATAAAGAGGCCACCCACCCATCAAGAAAATATAGCAATCCTAAATGTGTATGAACCAAATGACAGAGCTGCAAAATGTGTGATGCCAAAACTGATAAAACTGAAAGACAAATCCACAAGTATAGCAGTGAGATTTCAACACCTCCTCTATCAAACACTGCTTCAACAGCTAGACACAAAATCAGTAAGAACACAGAAATTCCCAATGCTACCATCAAACAACAGGATTTTATGAACATTTATAAAACACCACAACAAACAAGAGTAAAAAAAGGCCACATCCTGGGCCATAAAAAAATTTCACCAAACCTAAAAGAAATGAATTCATAAAAGTGTGTTCTCTGATCACAGTCAATTAAGTAAAAA